AGCTGAGCTTAGACTAGGAAAGGAAACAGAAAGATTAGGATCTGAGAGGTCAAACAGTAAGTCAAACTCCAGTTTGGAAAAACGTTCCAGTTTGATTGGGCTGGTAAAAAGCCAGAGCGTGAGTGTGAATCAGAAACACGGCCAGAGACGAATATGAACAGAGTTCAAAAGGATGCTTTGAAGCAATGAATTATTCAAACATGAAGAAATGCTTCATTGTATGTACTTGTATAGTTCTCATCAAACTATAGACACAAATGAGGTGATATTTACATTTATCTCAAAACTATAAGGCTCTGTACCATCTTGTTCATAAAGGAACTTAGCCTCCTCCTCTCAAAGTATCCCTGGGCCATTTCTGAGGTCACAGGTGGCTGGGATTTCACATGCAAAGACAAATTTACTGACCTTGGCCCACTCTGGCCTCCTTGTCAAGGTACCTCATCAGACTCAGCCTCAGCTGCTAAAGACAGATTACAAGGACTTGGGGCCAGCAGGTGGCGTAGAAGTTGTGGCACTTGACTCACACTTGGCCAACTATGGCTCAAGTTCCACACCTCGCTGCCTGAAAATCATAACAAATAAATAAATTGTTCGTTTGTTTGTTTGTTTAAAAAAAAGGAAAAGCCTGTCCTTCCGCCTTCTCCCTGCCCTCCCCACCTCAGGAGCATTGCCCTTTGCCAGAGCATCTATGGGTTGGGATGTGGAGCCAGAGAGGTCAAAAACCTCTCATAAATTTAGTTCCTCTTATTTCTCTCCCTAACCCTAATCTTCGCTGCAGTTCAAAATATGTCTTCCCAACCCGGATTGGATGAAGAAAAGAAGAAGAATATCGGCCACCTTTTCCTGTGTCCTTTCTGCTTTATCTCTCTAGTCATTCAAGGCCAAATACTGACCTACCATTGTAGTAGATTGAAAGTAAAAATAATCCCAGTTCTCTGCCTCTCTCTATATCTATGCCTTTTGCAGTGGGACATCAGCTCCTCCCATGAAGAAATAGACTTTCTCCCCAACCCCTGAAATCTGCACTGGACCTGTAGTAATGTCGGTAAGCTAGATGTGACCACAATGATGGTGTGTTTGTTGTAAGCCTACATTTCAGGAAACTTCAAGTTTCTCCACTCACTCTTTTGGGTCATCTGCCATGTCTTGGGGATAGCCTGGGTTAGACAGTGATTTAAAAAAAAAAAATGCAAAACAAAAAACAAACAAAAAAATGAAAAAGCTTCCTCCCACAGTCAGCTCACAGCCAGTCACCTACCCAGACAGCCCAGAAGAGCTGCTTTGCTGAGCCCAGCCAAGCTTAGCAGAGCTGTGTAGATGACCTGCTTTTGTATGATTGGACCCAGGTGAGACCTGAGGAAGCACCCAGCTAATCCACAGATTTGTGAATCAACTCTATGTCATTTGAAGCCACTGGGTTTTCTATTGTTTATACAGCATTATTGTTGCAAGAGATAAATGACATACCCCTTTTACCCATTTTTTGCAAATTCGAACACGCCTCTGAGAAGCTCCATAAATTATCAGTCCGGATTCAGCCAGGACATCCTGCTGCCCGGTGTGTGAGGGAGACACCTTTTGTTTGTTTGTTTGTTTGTTTTGTTTTCCAGAGGGCATGTGTACTCGTATGCACACAAAAGAGAGAGAGAGAAAGAAAGCCCACCCTCCACACACACGCCTGGAGGATGTCCACACCACAATCCCTTTTCCTCCATTTCTTCCTCTTTTCGGAATTTTGAGCACACACTCAGAGCAGACTCCTGGAATGACTTTCAGGCCACTGGGTCTGTGATTTGAACCCCGCAGTTGGCCATGTGTAATCCAGCCACCTGAACCACCATACCATTAGTTGGCCCAAGATGAAGCTCTTTTAACTTGTTAGATGTTCCAGAAGCCTAAGAAAAAGCTGGTCAGTTTTTGGGTAAGGCATATATGAGGAATATCAGTGTGGGAATGCCCTACAAATCTGCAACCAGATAATGAAAATCACAGTTGGCTTAGTAGAATGGCATTTCTTTTTTCTTTCTACTACTTATAATCTTCAAACATTATTGTGCTTAAACTTTCATAATTTGATAAAGCACTCATGAAACAATCTATAGACTAGTTTAATAGACAAATAACATTTCATGCAGACATAACCATCCTAAACATTTTCTTTTTCATACCTACCATCCACCATCCACTCTGGCATTTTTTTTATAGAACCCAGCAGTTTTGGATGAGTTGAGATTGAACTGAGACAAAGAGCAACTGGAAAAAATGGAGCAGGAATCAGAGAGAAGACACTGAGCTGCCCCAGGTCCTGGAACTGAGGCTCCAGCCAAGTTTATTTAAAATTTCAGAAGGCAGGGAAACCCTCCAGTGGGAATCTGAGTTCCATGTTATTAACCTCAGTTTACCATGTGAAGCTAATGTTTATTTTTAAGAGAAAGATTATGTATACATATACATACACACGCACACACACACAGAGCTGAAGAATGAAGCAGAAGGTGTGATTGTGGCTTGCCTACCAATCAACTATGTGACTGATCTCATAGACATTCTTTCTCAAGATAATCCCAGATTCACAGTTTCCCTTAGTCTGATCACAAATCCTTCAGAACAGACTGCCATCAGTGTCAATAAATTGCTTATAGCTGTCTGCCTTTCACCTAATCTTGCTCCTCCTCCACCTCCATAAGATCTCCTCTGCAGTCTTTGTCCAATGCCGACTCTTTCAGAACAACTTACATGTGTCATAACCCTTTTACTAGAATAAAAGAGCTTAGTCTTTTCAAGGTCAGCAGACCCGTTGTTATTTCCATCTGCCAGTAGATCTGACTGCATGCCCCAGGGTCTGACCCACATGGGATACTAGATTTGTAAGACCAATACATTCCCTTTTTTCCTTAGAACTTTTTCTTTAATTGTTCTCCTTGGCATGACATTACCCTATCTTCAAACTTTCATTATGTCAATTTGCTTTGTCTAATTTCAGCTACTTTTTTATTTAGAGAATTATTTTATTTAACTTTATTTATTTATTTATTTTAATCTGACCAGATAGGGACAGAGCAAGAGGGATGGAAAGTGAGAAAGTAGGCTGCCAGGTCTGGGACTCGAACCACAGTCAGTCGTGTGGGAGTCCAGCACCCTTAACCACTGCACCACCTGCCAACCCCATAATTACGGTTACTTGAGAGTGTTGTAACCTCCAGTGATAAAACTTCCTTGGGGGACATTATTAAGTGTATAAATGGTGGTCCTTGAATTAAAAAAGACCCCTTCTCTTCACTCTGGTCATCAGGAAGCAGAAAGCTAGCAAATGGAATAGGGTAAGAGAGCTAGAGCGTCTTCCCATGTGGCTAGATAGAAAAACCAACCAGGGCAGAAAATTCCCTGTCCAACATAATGTAAGGAGGAAATTTCCAGTGGGGGATGATTAAGCCATTTTTTTTTTCTTTTTGTTTTGGAGAGGTTTATGCTATAGGGTGCATGTGCTTGCCAGACAGAGAGAAACAGAGAGACAGAGAGTGAGAAATCACCCCCCCAGGGGGGATGGCCATGCCGCAATCCCTTCTCCTCCATTCTCCTCTCAGGATCTTGGGCACGCACGCACACACGCCCGGCGTGAGTTTAAGTCACTGGGTCCGCGACTTGAACCGTGGTCGACTACGTGGGAGTCCAGCAACATAGCCATTACACTAACTGCTGGTCCCAAGCCATTTTTAATATAGCCCATGAGATGAATCAGTGGGCCCAGCCACATTTGATAGAGCCAATGAGATGAGAACAACCAATGGGCCCAGGCAATAATCAACTGACATGATCTAGATTAAAATACTGTGAATCTCTCAGAATGCAACTGCTGGAGATTTTTGAGCCACATTTTCTCTGTCTGCTCAGGCCCACTCCTATCTCTCTGGAGTGTACTTTCACTTTCTCTTAATAAACTACCTTTTCCTTTCACTATTGACATGTTTTGTTTAATTCTTTGTCAGAAACACCAAGATCCTGGATACCATCACAGAAGCCATCCCGCAACAGTTGCAAACAAAATGAGTTCTCTTTCCAAATTGTTCCCTTTCTCTTCTCCAGAGTTTCAATGAACTTTGAATGGAGCCTGCACACCAGGGATGGATGAACAGAGATTGGTCCAGCAGGAAAGGTGATATTGGATGTGTTCAGATTCTGGAGTATCCACTGGACTGTGCTGATGGTGCTTCCTTCAGGCTGAGGCCTGCTCTTGCCTACCTGCCAGCCAGAGTCACACTGCCATAGTCTGGCCAATATCCATCACAGGTCAGTTGGCCACTAGCTGGAAATACATGGATGGACAACTGGAACCACAGCTGCAGAGAAAACAAGAATAAGTTGCTGATGGCTGATTTCTACTTCTGTTTATCCTTTTCAGTGATGAAAAATAAGGCTAAATGTAGCCAAGTCCTCTTAAGTTGAGGGTTTAGCTTCTTGGTCCCTTTGGGCTGGGAGTGAGGGTTGGGTTGAGGTAGGCCCAGAGAAGTGGTTAATATATGTCCACTCCCTAATAGCCACTACTGGAATTTTATAGCTACACTTCTATAGATGTAGGTCTCTAGTTGTTCAGTACCCAGGCCAGGGGTGATTTAGGGCAGGGGGAGTAGTGCTTAGTGTGTGAGAGTTACATAAAGGAGGTAGCAGGCAGTGTAGACCCTGGATTGGTTGGTTTGTATATCAAAGTTGTGCTCCTGGCCATCTCTAGGAGTTAGCTAACCTTGAAGAGGTATTCTTTCCTCAGGTTCACAAAGCCCAAAGCATCAAAGCATCATAAAGTATAGAAAATTGACAAATGTGTTATATAGCAAGATGAGAAAATGTGAATCCCTCCACCATCACATTGAGTGCCAAGATTATTGGGGACATGTTGCAGCTCTGGGCCTTCTCTCAAGGCTACACTGTTCTGGACTCAGTGTCCTGACCTCTAAATATTTACAGAAGTCATTTTCACCATCGCTCACTGGCTCTTTTGACCCAGAGCAGCACTTTGCTTTTTCAGGAAACAAACGGGATGAAAGTCCAGGGCTGGGACTTCCTCCTTGGTATGTTTGACAAGGACTGACGTCCTCTTGGCCCTTTGAATCCCGGAAGTCCAGGGCACACCCAGTCTTGATTTCAGTGTTCCAGAATGCAGGAGCGTAGGTAAAAAGGACAAACGCGAAAAGCATTTCAACATGAGAGACCCACTGACAGATAGCTCGGTGAGTAGTTTGGTGTGGTTTGTGTGCCTGCTGGGAGAGGGAAAATGCAGCATAAATATTACATACGAGTGTATTTTAACTGAAGAAATTTAAGACACTCAGAAGCCAAACGTGTTCAGATACTGGCTGTGGTACAAAAGTCTGTGGTTTTTCTTTGGTTCAGTTTAAAACAGAACCCCCTCTAGAAATGACAGGGCAGGTAATTGTCACTTTTCATTCCCACATCCTTGAAAAAAGTTTGAGTGGGTATAGCATCGTATTTGGAACCAGATGGTGGCTGTTGGGAAAGCATTCTCTAGGCACACACCAGTGGTGCCAACATTATGCGTGTGGCGTGGATACAAACACAGAGAATGCCTGCGGCCAACTCTCGGCTCCAGGAATGAAGTCAGGGAGGAAGGTTTTTGCATATTTTCCCATATTGCTTAGAGTCAAGGATTGTAAATCCTGTGGAAGGGAAAAATGGACTCTTTATCTGGCCTGTGGTGGTTCTCAGACTGGTTTACCAACCTGTTTGTCCTGGGAACATTACCAAAAAATAGAAGACTGGTCAAAAGTCCAAAGACACTGTGAGATTGTTAGCAACAATAGCAGAGAGATAATTTAGGAAATGAGAAACAACTGTAAGGGAGAGGGAGTGTATATTTATTTTGAAAATAAAGAAAACCAAGGATTGTCAGTGTCTTATCCCAATAAATAGCGCTGAAAAGCTGAAATTGAGGACACCTGAGAAAGCCGTTGCAATCGCTCTTTACATACTTTACTAAGAAAACAAACTGCGGAGACGCAGATAAATGGTGGCTGCAATAAAAACATGGAGAGGAAGATCAGCGAGGGTCATTGGCTTCCTTTTTGTTTATTCCACAGATAAAGAAAGCCCATGTTAGAAAAGATGGACTAATAGTTATTAGTCTATGAAATGACTTCAAGAATCAGATAAGCTAAGAGAGATAAACTCATAAATGACTAGTAATATTCATAATGATAATATAGCAGAAATGCCTTGCCTAATTTTATTTCTTAAATAAAAAGGTAACATGTCAATGTAAACCCAGATTTCAATGATGTGATTATATTTGGTTTTAAGAGTAAAAAAATTTTCTGCATGAATTTCCTCCATCTCAGTCTTCTCTCCATTGGTAATTATGAATAACTTTGAAAAAGTCATCGATCATTTGTTCATTTTTTCTTCCTTGAGTCTACTCTCTTAAAAATATTAAATCCTCTCCTGTCTCGACATCGATACCTTGATGGTGTTTTTGTATAGGGATGATAGCGTAGAACTTGGATTGGATAAATTGAGACAAAAACATGGTACTACTAATTACCAAAGAACAAAGTCAACACCAAGGAGTTAGTGTGATGGAAGAGAGGGTAACTGAGGCCAGGTTCAACTGAATTAAAAAAGAAATTGAAATCATAGCATCACTTTTTTCAGGCAGTGAAGTCAGTCTTTCAGATCAGAACCCGGGAGAAATGTTTTCTTTCAAGCAGCCCCCAAGATGACCTCTCTAATGTGCTAAATAGTTCCTTACCCTCTGTTGAGCCATTGCCTCAAGGGCTCTTGTCCTTGTCCATAACTCTGAAGGTCAATGGGCCTTAGAGCCTGGGAGTTAGGAAGAGGCGGATATCCCTTTAGCTTGTGTTTCTAAACTCTCTAAAGTCACAGAATACTTATTTATTTGCAGTTGTTTCATCTTCATCAAGTGTTCAAGTTGATTTCCTGGCATAGCCCTAGCCTGTATTTGGGGAACAGTGCTGTGTGAGTGAGGCTGCAGTTCAGGAACATGATGAAACAAGGGAATGGCTTGACACGGAATGCTTCACAAAACACCTAGCAATTTTTTTTTTGAGAGGTTTTTTTCACTATAGGGCGCGTGCGCTCGCCAGACTGAGAGAGACATAGAGACAGAAAGCGAGAAATCACCCCCCAGGGGGGATGGTCATGCCGCAATCCCTTCTCCTCCATTCTCCTCTGGGATCTTGGGCACGCACGCACATGCGCCTGGCGTGAGTTTTAAGTCACCGGGTCCAGGAGGCGAACAGCGGTCGACTACGTGGGAGTCCAACGACATAGCCATTACGCTAACTGCTGGTTCCCAACATTTAGCAATTTTTAAGAAGAAACCAAAGCTTAAAACACCTGTGATTTGTCCCATTCCATGAGTCCCTAGGGTTTCTCAGAACTCCATTCACAAAATCTTAGTTTAACTGCAGTTTTTAATCTGATCTATGCTAATGAATCTATGTAGGAAACTCAGTGAGTTTCATGAACACCAATGGGAAAAACATCTCTACCAACTGAAATTTAGAATTTCCATCAATCCTGAATACAGAAAATAAATCTCAATACTACTATCAGGGTTGTAACTTTGTAAACAATACAAATCAGATATTTCTATAGAGAATTATTGTTTATGCTCAACTTGACTTAGAAATTTTGATGATTCACATTTTTGATAATTCAAGTCTTCCAACGGTGTGATGGTTAAGGCAGCTAAATCCCGCAAGACAGTTTGTGTCACAAAATCCCAAAAGGAGAAGAAATGGAGGAAAAGAGATTGTGGTGTGGGTGTGATCATTCCCCATGGGGAGTGTTTCTCACTTTCCTCTTTCTCCATTTCTGTCTCTTTTCAACAAGTGCTTACATCCTCTGGCAAAGTTCAGAAAATAAATAAATAAAGTAAAACTTGGTCATTCTTTTTTTGTTCATTTGTTTATTTGTTTGCTAATAGGGTGTGTGTACTTGCCAAAGAAAGAAAAGGAGAGACAGAGGTAAAAGGTAAAAATATCACCCCTTCTAGGAGATGGCTATGCTGCAATCCCTTATCCTTCATTCTCCTCTTGAGATTTTGGGCATGCACACACTCATGCCCAGCATGCTTTTCAAGCTACTGGGTCAGGCACACAAACCATACCATCAATCATGTGAGGTTCAGCTTCCTTAACCTCCATACCATCTGCTAGTCAAGATAATTGTTAAGACTTGTTATTTACCACGTTAATAAAAAGCACAAACAATTTTAAAGAAGTTTTTGTAAATATGTGTATATAATTTCCTTTGTTATCCTGTGTTATTTTATTTTATACACTTAAAACTATTATTTTGAGTAAACTAGGTTTCACAAAACTACTAAAAGAACCCACCATATAAAAGAAAAAAAATTAAATCTCTGTTAGTGTCATGTTCCAGTGGGCAAAATAGTCTGAGAGCCCAGCCCTTCCACCTCAATGAGCTGAGTCTGTAATCACGTTAAATTACTGTCACCAGTGTAGTACAAAGATTGTCTAAATGCTGTGTAGGGATTTAAACTAATCTTGAGAGAGTCAAGACTTACTTGAAAAAGACTTTTTAAAGTTCTGATTTTGAAAAGAAAAAGAATTGGCTCTGGGCCTTGATGCCTATAAGCTTAGCTTCTAAACCTAAAAATATGCCAAGGGAAATCATCTTCAAATCCATGTGCAAGGAAGCAGACAGGATGAAATTATTCCCAAAGGAAATCATCTAATCTTTTTTCTTTTTACTCAAAACAATGCTCTAAAACCAAGGGCAAGCAACAAGCTATAACCAAGGTTTTGCTTTTTATGCATATATACTAGGGCACCTCAGAAAGTTTGTAGAAAAAAAACGGAATTAAAATATGAGCTTATTCTGGTGGGGAAAAAATGGAAATTATGCATAGTTTTTTCATAATACATATTTTACAGAACGTTTTGAAGATCGCTAATATAGTAGCAAGGGAGGGACCTGTCAGAGCAAGCCTTCTGGGCACCACAAGGTCTGTCCCCTCCCTCATGTCATCAGCTGTTGAAAGAGCACCAGGCTGTTCTCGAGGTTGGTAACCTGACCCAGATGTCAACTTGAGCTTTACAACTAGCAGCTTAGCCTGGGTCACCAGATGGTGACTAATTCAGAAGATGCCGGTGCAATGGTCCACAGCTCCTGAGGGATTCCGATTCACCACAGAGAGAGGGGAGGCAGGCTGAGTCTGGAGTGGATGTTGTGTAGCACATAGCATCACCTCTGTGCAACTGACATTCCACATTTCTTGGACCTCTGTTTCCTCATCTGTAAAGTAAAAGAAGAGGTTAGAGCAGAATTTGTTCCTTAATGTCCTATTTTATAATCTATGATAGCCTGTCATGGGATCTCCCAATAGCATAGAGATGCTAATAGATAAAGGTCATTTATTAGAGACAGTGATTTGAAATGTCACCCCCAATGAATAAGAAGTCATAGGAAATCAGTAGCACTGTGCTTGACTTCCAAAAGGCATCTAGAGTAAGCTCGTTTAATTAAATTTAAGTGAGAATGGCATGGTTTATTTAACACTCACAATTATTGAAAATCTCTTTTCGTAGTAACATCTAGAATAAAAATAGATTTTTCTACAATAAGTAAATTTGAATTTCTCAGTCATTCAAACTGCACAATGTCAGAAAAACAGGTAGACCAAACTAGATATAAGCACTTGTCAAATCCTTTCATGTGCTGATTATGTAAGTTACCAAGTTTTTTCTGTGATTACCAAGTTTTTTTCCGTAAGGGCAACATTTACACAACAGAATTTTCTTTCAATAGCTGGGCAGAAACATTTTTTAATGGCTAATGGACAATATCTGTGTAGACCAGTTGTCTATATGAAAACTTTCTCTTTGTTTTTTTTTCGATGGGGGGCAACCTCAGAAAAGTCCCAAAAATTTACCACTATCCTGAAATTCTTTTATTGAGAGGAAGAAAAACCCTGTTTTTTTTTTTCTAGTAATTAATATATAGCAATATAATTTCCTTTCTTATCCTGCATTAATTAATGATCCTAAGGGGAAGTAGCATGTTAGTATAAATACACATGGAGATACAAAACCAATAAGAGATTCTTAAATATTTGATAGGGAGCAGAGTATTCCAAAGCTCAATGGCTAGTAAAAGAATGATAAAAATCTACTTTCCTCATGACTTTGGCCAGAGCAGAACCCCCCTGCATTGCACAGATTACTAT